TTTCTCATGAGTGTACTGGAATTTTCTCAAATGCTTTTTTCTGTATCAGTTGATCCTCTTTTTTTTTTTTCCTTTAGACTCTCAGTATGGTGGATCATTTTGATTTTTAAATTTTGAACCAGCTTATCTCCCTTCCATCAAACCTGGTCATGTTGTATTGTTCAGTTTTATATATTTGGACTCATTTTGTTGAGCTTTTTTTGGGAGGGGATATTGTTGAGGTATTCATTTGAGATATTGGTCAATAGCTTATAAAATTAAAAAATGTTTTATCTTGGTTTGGTATCAAGTTATTGCTGGTCTTATAAAATGAATTGGGAAGTGATTCTTCTCCTTTCTGGGAGAGATTTATAGAATTTGCATTATGTTTTCCTTAAATGATTTGGGATTTGCCAGTAAGGTTTTAAACAAGGACTCAGTTTTTTAAAATAGTAGAATTTACTCAGGTTATATAACAATTTAGTTTTCATAGTTCATGCCTTTCAAGGAATTGATTCATCTAATTCTCTGTGCAGTTATTTGCAGTATTAAAAAGTATAGTTTCCTTTTAATGTCTTTCGAGTCTGTAGTGGTATCCTTTTCATTCCTAAAATTTGTCAGTCTTGCTAGAAGTTTATCTGCTGTTTTCAAGCCCCAATTTTTTTATTTTGATTAGCCCTATTGTTCATAGACTTTTTGTTTTATACATCCTTCTTCAGACTTTCTTCCTTCTGCTTGCTTTGGGTTTATTTTGCTCTTTTTCTAGTTTCTTAAAATATAAATTTACTGGTTTTGAAACCTTTTTTTAACAAAAGTGATTGATACTATGATTACTAAGCACTGCTTTAGCTGCATTCCATATATTTTGATATTTTCATTCAATAAGTTCAAAATACATTCTCTTTTTAGACTTTCACTTACAGGCATGGATTGTTTTCATAGATGTTTCTTATTTAACTTCCAAGTGTTTGGAGATTGTCCCGTTAACTGTTTGTTTTCTAGTTTTATGGTCAGGGAAGACATTTTGTATGATTTTAGTTCAGTTCTTAGTTTGTTTATGACCCAGGATATATTCTCTCTTGGTGACTATGGTACGTTAACTTGAAAAGAATGCTTATTCTGCTATTCTGGGATGAATTTTATATAAAGCAGATTCACATGGTTGTTGGTATTTTTCAGTCCTTCTACATCCTTGTTGATTTTCTAGTGCTATACATTACTGAGTGGAATCTTTTAAGTCTGCAACTGAAGCTTTGTCCATATGACCTCTTCACTGCTGTCAGTTTTTAGTACTTCTTGTATTTTTAGGCTCTGATGTTAGATGCATACCTATTTAAGACTCATATCTTGGTGAATTGATTCTTTTATCACGTTAATATCCTTTATTCCTATTAACTTTGATGCAATTTCACATAAGTCCATTTAATCTATTTTGGGAAGTAATGTGCAGAGTGTTTAGGAACATAGCCTGAGTCACAATTGCCTGGATTTGAATCTCATATCCAAGTACAGGTATGTGACCTTGGGCTTATCTCGTACTTGCTCTGTTGTTGTGGTTTATTTGTAAATGGAATAATCTCATTCAGTTTGGAGAATAACATGAAATGATTCATCTAAAATATCTGACAATAGTACCTGACAGTAAAAACTATCACTGCTAACCACAAACGTTAGATCAGAAATATCTAGTTTTTAAAAAGTATGCCACATTAATTGAAAATACATGGAAGGTTAAAGTGCCTGTTTTAAAAAATAGCACTTATGAAAGCAGGGATTATTCAATATATTTAACCTGAGTCAAATACAAAAGGAACCTTCTAAGTTTTTCTTTATTCAGTAATTCCTTACAGTATCTACTTTCTAGCTTGTTAGTTACATGAACAGTTCAAAATCATATATTAATAATTAACAAGCCGTCTGACCAGACTAATACAACACTTAGTGGTTGCCTGTTATTACCAACCACCTGTTGGAATCCTGTTTAATTAGGTAAGAGGGTCACACAGAACTACAGATGGGCTGAATCTGAGGGTGATTTAGTATTAAGGACAGTCCTAACAGTGATGGGGTAGTCCAGGTGGCGATGGTGGTCAGGAACGCACCTGCCAATGCAGGAGACATAGATTATGACATGGATTCGATCCCTAGGTTGGGAAGATGCCCTGGAGGAAAGCATGGAAACCCACTCCAGTGTTCTTGCCTGAAGAATTTCACGGACAGAGGAGCCTGGCAGGTTATAGTTCATAGGGTCACAAAGAGTCAGACATGACTGAAGTGACTTAGCACACTCATACAATGGAACCTAAATAATAAAAGTGACTAACAATGCATAAGCAAGTTTTTAATGCATGTTAAGCATATTTGTCATCATCTTGTGTTTATCTTTAAAAAACCACTAGAAAGCAAAGTGTCAATTAGGTAATAGCTATACTATCATAATTTTTTTTCCTTACCATGCATCTTACCATGCATGTTCAGTCTCTAAGTTATGTCTGATTCTTTGTAACCCAATGGACTGTAGTCCACCAGGCTCCTTTGTCCATGGGATTTCCCTGGCAAGAATACAATTTCCCAGGTTGCCACTTCCTTCTCTAGAGGATATTCCCAGACCAGGGATCAAACCTATGTCTCCTGCATTGGCAGAAGGATTCTTCACCAGTTAGCCACCAGGGAAGCCCACCGTGCATCTTACTTTAGTGCTAAATTTAAATAAAGTGAGTGGAGACAGCTTTTTATTGTGGTGCTATTATCACGTTGCCAAAATAGTTAATTGCATTAGAAGAGAAACGAATAGAAAACCACCTGGCAAAGGAATGCATTTCAGTAACTTTATTGAAAGGTATATCCCTTAGTACCAAAACATAATGGGAGTTGGTTAGGTTACCTCTGGCAACTCAAAATTAACACTGATGTATTCAAAATATTGAAATTTATCAGTATTTTGGGAAAACTGTAAAGTTATCCATAAAACATGGTTTACCAAAGTATAAGATACACTGTGGTTCTTTGGTTCATTTTCTAATGCCTCTATAACCATAAAATGATGTCAAAATTGGGTACAGCCATCTTGGATGGATTCAGGTTACACAGTGCATTGAGTAACTCTCTGCAACACTTTAACCCTGTAGATCTCTGAACACTACACCTCGGCAACCTTATAATTATGAAGATGCCTACTTACCTTTCTTAATACTTCCTTTTGGCACACAGTAGGGGCAATTAATGTAAGCATATTCTCTTCCTTTTAAGCAAAATTCTAAGTTAGAACCAAGTTTTATAAAAACAGTCCTCAGTAAAAACTGATGGAGTGTTAAATCAAAAAGTTTTCTGAGTGACACTAATTTGAGTTACTAGTACAGTAAAAACTAACTTTCTTGATGGGACTAGACTGAGGCAGTAAATTTTGTATAAAACTTTTAAAATCATGGATACAAACATCACCTGTTTTCTAAAAAAATATTAAAGATAACATGCCAAAATTAACAGGTTGGTAGTTTTGCTTTACATAAATGCCCTCAAATTTAAATGTGATTTCTATGTAGCAGTAAGGTCCACATCTCTGGGTTAATAATTACTTGCATCATAGGTGCCAAGAAACTAACTATTCTCACTGCCTAGAATAGTGACCCTTATTGTGCCTTAAAAAGTGCATTTGTGAAATGGTGTTCTTGATGTAAACCTCCTAATTTAAAGTTTAAATTTAAGTAGGTTACCTTTTTTAAACACCACCTAAGTACAATATATTGACCCAATATAGAAACTTGGATCAATGTTAGAAATGAAGATTCACAGTTTACCTTTCCAGGCTTGTCATTTGCATTTCACATTTATACTGTTACTTTGATTTGTATGTTTCACAGGTGAATTCAAATTTGAGTAATTCCACTGTAGGGTAATGTTAATTAGGCAGTTTTCCCAAATCTGAGAACACCAATGCTAATCTAGTTGTGATGTTTTGAGGCTTCACAGCTTAAATCCATTATAATATTATGGAATCCACAGCTCAGGATTGTGGAGAAAGGCTTCAGAAGTTTTTTGTTGCTGTAATCATCCTATTTAACAAACAAAAAATCAAGTTATCAGAAGTCTGCCAAACACAAATTTTGCTACCTGTTAAAATATCTAAGATTCATAATCATGTCTTATGTAGATGTATTCTATGTTCACACTTAGTTTTGAGTAGGAAGAAAGTTAACTCACCACCATGAGTTAAACTTAGATGGTAAGAAAGTCTATCATATATTCCTGAGGAGGTTTACATTTTTTATGCATTTAAATACTTGCCACTGTTCAACTCTTATAGGAATGACACACAACTACAATGCTGAGACACCCTGGCAGTTTCCAAAGACCCAGTGTAGAAACCACCTGTCCTAACTTATTTTTCTTTAAGTATAACACTAGAGTTCATACTGACTTTCCTAATAAGCTAATAGTCTCAAATTAGTTCAATGTATGGTTCAAAATTTTGGTCCTGTTCGTTTACTCAGGCTTGTGTAACTTTAAATGAACTAAAGCTTGAGTCTACATATAGCAAAATGATGTGCAATTAGAAAAAAACAAAACACTGTTTTAGTGCTACTTTTAAAGTTTACATTATTAAGGAGGATGTGGCTTTGTAAGCTGATAATTTAATGAAACAGCTAACATATATATCAAAGTTTAGTAATTCCTTACTCTTGGGATGTTGTATTGATACCTTGAATGTAGTGTGCTCAGTCACTAGTTTGAGTCAAACTCTTTGTGACCCCATGGACTGTAGCCCACCAGGCTATGTCCATGGGATTTTCCTGGCAAGAAGACTGGGGTGGATTGCCATTTCCTTCTCCACGAATGTAGTAAATGCCCTCAAATAATAGCTGACTAGATCAGTGAAGTCATTTTCCCCTTTCCTATTCCAACTCCATTTTGTTTATTTTGAAAATAATTCAGATTTATATTCTTGAATTGTAGAAGAAAATTATATAGCATTAGAAAATTTTCTATAATGTGGAGGATTAACTACGAACCAAATTTACCGATTAAGGGACCATTTCCGGAATTGTTGGAAGGTGGGTTATTCTGTAGTAACTATGCCTCAGTTGCCTTGCAGTACGCCCAGAAACAATCCATTTCAACTTCTGAACATTTGGTTTGGAACACTTGTTCGATGAATATTCAGCTAAACACTTGGATACAAGCTCTTGCCAGAAAGTCAAATCTCTGCCACTGATCTGTACGTAAATTTAAAAAAAAATGTTAACAGTCCTATAGTTTTCATTATAGTACTAATTACAATCTTATTAACATGTCTTTCCTTGTCAAAAAAGTTTAAGGGTAAGTTACTTAAATTTCAACCAAACATATGACATCTCACTTTACTTTAGGAACAAGTGGTTTAGTTTTTTTTACAGCTGTGAATAGGATTTAGGCTATGGCGTTGACATACCTTGGAATGTTTCTGAAGACGTTCTACTCCTTCTGTTAACTCTATATTCTTCTGTGCTTGGATCTCCAATGCGATGATAGACAATGCCAACACAGACGGCTAAAAGAGATGAATTTTAAAGTAAGTGTTGAATATGAAAATAGGTATATATTTAATCTTTATAAAATATTTACCTTTGCTTTAGAAAATATGATCCTGCAGTAGCATGCCTTAAGTTGGGCTTCTAGTCTTTCAAAATTAAGGCTACTCCTCCTTTAAAGAAAAAATGAAATTTTATGTAGGTAATTTTACATTGAGTCAAAAGAAATTTTTAGAAAAATAATGAAGTCAATTTTAAAGTGAAGTTTATGCACACTTATCATAGAAAAATGAATTATTTGAAGAAGTTTCCTTCCTTCAGAGATCTTAACTTCTTAAGGATACCATAGATGAATTTTAAATAATTTGGGCCATAAAAGAAAAATTTATTCTACAACAACCAAGGTTTCTTTTCATTTTAATAAATCTGTTTTTGAATTGAAAGTTTCTTTTCCCATAAATTCGTGTTAGATGCTTGCCTATTAGGTTCTGTAAGTTAACTAGTCTATAAATGGAAAATGTAATATTAAAAAATTTACCATCTTAAAGAATTCAAAGACTCCAAGAAGCTACTTTTGACTGAATGTCTCCTCACTCCTGCTGGAGAGTGAGTGAAACTCAAAGGGCTTAGCTCTCATTTTACTTGATTGACATCCTCCCAGGGTACTGATTTCATATAACATTCAGACAATATTCTGGTTTCTACATCTCCTTTGTTGAAAACAAAGCTGACATACCTTTCATGTGGCACGCCCTCCTGAAGGAGTGAATGATAGAGCTGTAGAAACTGAAAGGCAGTGGTAGCTTTGACTTTCCAACACACCTTCTCCAGTACAATCTTCTCCATTCTCATCAGGTCTGAAACCGTGAACCTGTACTGGCTGATTCGGATCAAGTCAGTAGCCAATGGGACATTCCTTTCCTCTTCTGTTGATTTTACAGCCAAATAGAAGCAGCTTAGTCCGACACACCCAAGGTGCTTGGGCTGTACCTAAAAAGACGATAAATCCATCTCTACCTTATTTCAATTTAAAAAAAACCCATAAAGTATAATCTAGAACTCAGACCCATCACTTTGAAAAATGTATTTGTGAGGTGAATCTCTCAGTGGTGAAGGACTTAGCAAGATCCACTGATGCCTCAACTGTAGGCTGTTAACCATATGCACCCACTTGGAACCAATTTTTGAGTAAATGGAGTAAGTTTCAGTGTAATGTTTGGCTTTTGCACATAACAATTCTTAGTTCTTTTGGTTTTTTAAATCACTGAAGAATGATAAGCAGTAAGTTACTTGGTCAAAGACTTATATGAGGACCGAAATACCTTACAGCTTATACACAAAATTTCTTTTCAGAATGTTGTGTTTTTCCAGGCTGTTTTCTTTGTGGCAATACTTGTGAAATGTTTTTAAATACTGTGACACATACTGTTTACTCTACCTGTAAAGCTCTAATCACTACCAGTCTTTTAAATTTATCCATCATTTTCTGAATGTCTACAATCAAAATTCTATCCAGTTTATTTAAAAAGTTTTTTTTGGCTATGCTGGGTCTTCCTTGCTGTGCGGGCTCTCTCTAGTTGTGGAGAATGGGGCCTATTCTTCACTGTGGTCTGTGGGCTTCTCATTGTGGTGGCGTCTCTTGTTGCAGTGCATGGGCTCCAGGGTGTGTGGGCTCCAGCAGTTGCGGCTTCTGGGGTCTAGACCACAGGCTCAGGAGCTCTGGCACATGAGCTTAGTTGCTTGGCCGCATGTGAGATCTTACCAGACCAGGGGTTGAACCCAAACCTCCTGCATTGGCAGGTGGATTTTTTTTACCACTGAGCCACCAGGGAAGCCCTCTATCCACTTTAAGTTTCAGCTCAACTGAAGCTTTAAAAAGCTTTTTACCAGTATTTGGGATCTCCTCTTCTTAGAACCCCTTCAGCAATATATTTATATCTCTTTTGAAGTATAATGTGATTCTTTTCTTATTATTCCTTGTACTAATGATAGTTATACGTGCAAACATTACTCCGACTAAGATTATAATATACTTAAGGAACAGATACATGTCATTCACCTGTGACACATTTAGAATTAAAGGTAGTGCCTACACATGGTGTCTAAAAGAGTTGTTTAATTAGACTGTTGAATAAGTTTCTTGAGCCATTCAACAAACACTGAGTTCTTTCCGTATATGTTGCATTCTGTTAGGTACTTTGAATAAAACATGAGTTTCATTTTAAGTGTCACATTATCTCATTATCTACCAACAACCATGGACACAGAGAAGTCAGATGTATTTTTCCTGCTTATCCAATACAGGGTAACAGCTGTACATCCGCTCCGTCAGAAGATACTCTCTACTATATGCAAACTTAGGCTGGAAATGCCAAGCATAAGCATGAGCTGGGTAAATGTAAGGCTAAACCAGTTGGAACTTTATTATATATGAACAAAGATCAAGAAATATACTCTACTGACCAGATGGTAGACAGCATCAACAAAAAGGGGAAAAAAAAAATCTAATTTTTAACCCACAATCTAGCATTCTGCCTTTAACAGATTTCTTTTTAAAGAAAAAACAACAGTAAATAAGTGAAAATACCCAAACTATCAAACAAGACTTTTAAAAACAACAGCCAACTCTCCTACTGGGAGGCTTTGCAATGATTTGATATTAGACTATTATTCAATGTCAGAAGTCTAATAACTGAGGCATTATTCTTGATTAAAAGGAAGAATATTCATCAATGCTATAGTACACAGAATTACCAAAACATTTTGGTTACTTGGTGAAAACACACAAAAAAATGGTCAAGTTATGAATACCAGCCCAAAGCTGGCAATACCATCTCCAAAACACATGAAGCAAAATCACGAAATACTCAGGGTAATGCAGCTTTAAACGTACCTTCATTTTAGACAGGAATCTGTCCAGTAAATTCACAGCTAGAGAAAATGTCTCCGTGTCAAAGCCAAAGAACTGAGTTAGACTAAGAAGATCTTTTACTTCAAAGTCCCTCAGTCTTGCAGTCATTCTAAGGCCATTATCATGTGCAGATTCAATTAGTCTCAAGCCGCAGACCTTTGGCTGACATCTCAACTCCTGTTCCAACAGGGCATTCAGCTGGTGTAGCAGTTTCTGAGAGTCAGTTGTTGTCAGTACCTCTATCATCTATATATAGAACAAAGCCCAGAAAGGAGTGAAAGAACAGCTCTTCCTGTCCTGCCAGGTGCCTTATAACACAAACCTCCCCTCTCTCAATGCTGTTAGTGAATCTCAGTCATTGCCAAGGGCCATCTGTTATTCTCCCCCTCCCCAACCAGTTGGTTACATCCATCCTAAATTGTGACTTCCTAGAGGGCCTTAAAAAAAAAAAAAAAGCTAATCTTCATGCCCAAACTTTGGAATTAAATGGTAGTATATATTCTGCCTCTTAGTAACAATGTGAACTATTCAAGTTAGTCAATTTTTCTTAGTCCTCAGTTCCTAATCTGTTAATAGGTTATTACCTATTTTATAGACTTATGTGAAATAAAGGTAAAGAATCTGCTTGCTATGCAGGAGAAACGAGTACGATCCCTGGGTTGGGAAGATCCTGTGGAGAAGGGAATGGCTACCCACTCCAGTATTCTTGCCTGGAGAATTCTGTAACACCCGAGCCTGGTGGGCGACAGTCCACAGGGTCGCAGAGAATTGGATACGACTGAGTGACAAACACTTTCAGTTTCAGGAGCACAGGTATATAGCACATACAATAGGAGCCCAATAAACACCTGGACAATATTAATGAGCTTATTTATAGTCTGTAAAACGAGGCAATATCTGCCTCTTCAAATGGCTGTTAAGATTAAACAAGATGATTCAACTAGAGTTCAGCATAGTGCTTGGCACTCAGTGCTCAGCAACTGTTAACTTTTATTGATGTTACGAAAGGAAACTCAGGTGTTAAGAGCACCGGCAGTGGGACAGGAGGCTAATCCATCCCGCAAGAGAAACCTGGGAGTTTCATAAATTTAGGGCAATAATGAACGCCTACTATGCCCCAGGCACAGGATACAGGGACAGTCCCTCCCCCCAACCACCAAAAGGCAGGAAGCAGAGCATCTTCAGGGTCGAGCGACGGAAGAGGTGGACAGACGCGGAATCACAATCTTCAAGGATCCAACTCTTTCGCCCCCGGGCTGGTGCCTGGGACCACGCCAACTTGACAATAAGACGGCTCGGGAGGTCTGATCTGGCCCCGCCCCTCCAGGCTCGGACTAGCCTGAACTTGTTGCTCGGTCTAGAGTTAACCGAGGAAAAGGGCGCGAGACGAACCCTCCACCCCGGCCCCTTACCCTACCCCGCGCACCCAACCCTGCTCCGTACCTGCACCCTGCAGTCAACCCCGAAATCCTAGCTCACCTTGATCGCGACTGCAGCTCCTCAGCGGTAACCACCCTCCCCGGGCCTGCTCTCGCCTCACCCCACGATATTAGATCCGAGAGGCCTACGAGGCGAGAGGACTCGCGGGCAAGAGGGGACAGGCCCGGGGAGGGGGAGCCGTCTTGGGTGGAGGTCTCTGCAGCGCCGCCGAGACGACCCTGCCCTTCTCCGGGTCAGTTCGGAGCCGAAGGGGCCGCGCCTGGCCTTCCGAGTAATATATTGGAGGGCGGGGCTTTCTCGCTGCGATGGGAGGGGGAAGTGGGAAGCATTTCCCCGCTAATTGGTGTAAGTCTTTTGATGGATGGCTCCTGCTGTCCAAAGAGGGCTGGTGCGTAGAGGGAAGATGTCCGGCCAATCAGCACACGTTTTTCATTATTCCCGCCCCCGGAGTCAAATTCTCCGCCCCTTGAGGCCACGCCCCTGCCTCTAAGCGTCTCTCATTGGAGGATTTCCCCAAGTGTCTTCGATGAAGAGGGGGAGTTAAACGCTGCGTTCACTAACCCAGGCCCGGGTAAGGCCTCTGTTGGCAGAAGGATTGGCCAGAATATCGTTCCAGAATGTACTGGGAGTTTTCATTCTGTTCCGTTTAGTAGAGTGGTTCTGCTGTCTTTGTAAAAACACAGTGGCTAGTTCTAACAAAAAAGTGAAGCCCCTATTTTTCATTACAGATGGAGAGGTGGTGGGTTTTCTGTGGTGTGGTTTATTAAGTTTCTAGAAGTTTCCTCATGTGCGCTTTGGAAATCACTGGTTCCTTGCCTTATTTTGCTTTTTGTAAAATGCAATCAAAGAGTGGAGTTGTGCTACGTAGGTTCTTGGTCTTCCTCCAATCTCCTGAATTTGAATTGTGAACAGATGAGAAAAGTTGGTAATTCTTTAGGGGCTTAAAACAAAAGGTATGTGGTTGACCCTTAAGCGGAATAAGGAGACCAGAATGACTGCAGCGATTAAAAGTCTGAGTCCACAGATCCCGTGTGTGAAGCGATATTATTCTTTTTATTTACTGGCCATGAATTTAATTTCTGCTTGTGAGCCTCTGCCGGGTAAGTGGGAAAATAATTAGCTTGAAGCGTTCCTGGACTCCTTCCCTCCTTTTTTCCCTGTTCTCACAAATGCGAAGGGTCTGCATTAAAAAGGGGTTGAGGATTGGAGAAGGAGGAGTTGGTTATCATTTCTCACGAACTGTATGTACTTTGATGTCTGTTCCCATGGCCTCTTCCTGTTAGTGGCTACCAGGGCTTTGAAAAAATGAGACTCTGAAAGGACATCTCTGTTGTTTGCCCTGCCAGATGCTTCCCCGAGGCAAATGACAGGCAAATGACGCAGAACCAAGCCTTGAAACGGGGGCAGAGTTGTGAGGAGAAAAGGGTAGGAAAAACCGGGGAGAAAAAGTTAATGCCTCAAAAATATTATCTCTAAAGCGTCACTGGGTCCGTTCTTCAAAGCTCCACTTTGTCAAAGTCCCGACCAATGAAGGGTCCTCGGTCCTCCTTGAAAATGAACTCGTAATAAGTATAAAAAGGCAATTTAAACCATTTTAAAAATTCTTTTTACAGTAATGCGTGAGTTTACAAATGTACATATTTCTGCTTTAGTAACAAAGGAACAAATTAGGAACCAAATTAGGAACATAGGTATATACATATGCACTTTTCCACTATTTATTGAAGATGTATGCCCGTGGAGGATGGGATATACTAGTTCCTGTCCTTGTGGCACGAGTAGTTTTGTGGGTAATATAAACCGATTTGCTTTGAAGTCACAGATTAGTAACTAGGTTTTAGACTTTTAGCAACTTTTTAATCACATTAAGTTTCCATTGTCGTTTCTTAAAAAAATAGGAACTAAATGCACTTTATTCATAGTGTTATCGGGAGGATTAAGTAATACAAAGTACATAAAGAGGTAGGCATTATGCCCAGAGCACAGTAAGTACTTGACGAATAGTATCCTTTATTGCTAACATTTCTTTTGAAATGTTGTGCTTAAAGATGTATTTCATTCTGTTTTATCTATTTTAGCCTTAGTCTTCTAGAATCAGAGTATTAGAATTGTTTGTTATTGTTGTTGTTTAGTTGCTGAGTCATGTCTGACTCTTTGCAAACCCGTGGACTGTAGCCCACCAGGCTCCTCTATCCATGGGGTTCTCTTGGCAAGAATGCTGGAGTGGGTTGCCATTACCTTCTCCAGTAGAATTGTTTACTTAACACTAGTAAAAGTATCTAAAGTGCATGTGTTAATTTCTATGCCTTTTATACTTAAAATATATCACTGTTTATGTAATAAAAATGTTTCTCTTACATTATGATCTTATTATTACTTTTTATTAAAACCTGAAATTCCCTGTATGAAAAAAAAACTGTTTCAGTAGTACTGAAGAAGCACTGATTAAATAGAAATCAAATCAAATGAACATTTTTTACCTTTTCTCCTAATCTCTCACCTCCACCATCATTTATATTCCATAATATTAGAATACAGACTGTCATTTAAATAACTTAAAAGTTCTAATTAGCAAAATATGCAAATATAAGACAGTTGTGTCCTACTGTAAAAGAAAAAAAAATGAGCCTTTTATTAACTGTGATTTTATTTTTAAAGACTGGTAGGTTGAGTGATGAGTCTGTCAGGAATCTTTCAAAGGACTGACTTCCAGGCTATTTTCTAGGCTCAGGGATATATTCTGCTGTCAGTTTCATGCTTTCTTCTCCATCACCAGTTAAGTGCGGCAAGAACTGAAGCTCAGAATAATGGCCTTAAAGCTGGGCAAAAATCCAATACATTAAGAGGAGGATTTAATCATATTCTCTACATTGCAGACTATTGAAGTGCCTTGAGCAGCAAAAAAAAAATTATAACAAGCAGGTAAACACTGACGGTTTATCAAATGCTGCCCCAGCTGTGGGAACTTCCTCCTTGGTTCTGTTTCTGTCCTGGAGACTGGAGGAATCTTTGCACTGCTCCTTCTGTTGAGGCTCTCTGACAAATGTCCAGAACTTTGGAATGTGGGCTTGTCCAACAGTGATGAAGGCCAAAAATATGAGGATCAAAAAGATCACAGCTGAATTGTCTTCCCCTCTACTTCCTGATCCTTCCTGAAACTACTTATTACAGCCCCTCCACGTATCCAACTGTTCTCTGGTGCATCTGCTCTGTCCTAGACGAGAACTTGCTAGATCGTGGCTTCATGCGGTCTTTGTTGATCTCTGGGATAGTTTGGGGCTGAGAAATTGTGTACAGTTTGGGTGGTGATGGGAAGGCAGGGAAAACGATACACAGAAATCGGATTACTTTCATTTGTAAGTTAGAGTGGAAACCTGCTATATAGCTCAGGAAGCTCAACTTGGGACCCTGTGGTGACCAAGAGGGATGGGATGAAGGGGGGGAGTCAGAGAGAGGTCCAAAGGAGAGGGGATATATGTATACATACAGCTGATTCACTTTGTGTGTGCTCAGTCACATCTGACTCTTTACGACCCTATGGACTGGAGCCCTCCAGGCTCCTCTGCCCATGGGATTCTCCAGGCAAGAATACTGGAGTGGGTTGCCATGCCCTCCTCCAAGGGATCCTTGCGACCTAGGAATTGAACCTGAGTCTCTTATATCTCCTGCATTGACAGGTGGATGCTTTACCACTAGTGCCAACTGGGAAGTGATTCACTTTGTAGTAGTGCAGAAACTCCCACAACATTGTAAAGTGATTATATGCCAATAAAAATAAAATACAGGATGCCCAGTTAAATTTATAT